TCTGTTCTCTGTGCCTTTATTGGAAACTAGTTGATGTATGTGTGAGCCGTGTCTGGACTCTGCTCTGTTGCATTGATCAACACGTCCATCCTGTCTCCCATAACCACGTTTCTTCTGCTCCCAGAAAGGAAAAAGTGCCAGTCTGTTAAGGTCTGGGTCATGTTCTGTTGGTCAGAGAAGCCCCAGAGCCTCCGCTCCAGGGGCCTGGCTACAGACGACACCCCTCCAATGGGGAAAGTGAGAAACAACTCACAGTGTGTTTCAGAAGTAAAGGTTGTTGTGGCGTAATTTACGTGCAGTCAGGGTGACCCTTGGAAGTGTAGGGTCCTGTGAGTTGGCATCTGTGTTCCGTCCATATTCATTACCACAAATTGAGATGCTCAATCCTTCTGTCACCTCCACATTCCCTTATAATGGTGCCTTTATACTCAGACCTCTACTCCTCGCTAATCCCACTGTGGTTTTCTTCCTCGTCCTCTAACGTGGCCCCACACGGAATCGACCGTGAGGCAGTAACGTAGGGTGTGGTCCTCTCAGTCTGTCTCCTTTCCCTCAGGGTAATGTGTGGCGGTGTCCCCCTGCCTCTTAGCCACGAGTGGCACAACTTCCCACCCTGTGGACACGCCTCAGTTTGTTTCCCCCACCACCAAGTGAAGAACATTCCGGATGTTTGCTATTTGGAGCGGTGCTTATTTTTTTGAAAAGGTTTATTTTATTCATCTGAAAGAGTCACAGAGATAAAGAGGGAGAGACAGAGAGGTCTTCCATCTGCTGGTTTACTCCCCCAATGGCTGCACCAGCTGGGGTGGGCCAGACCAAAGCCAGGAGCCCGGAGCCCACTCTAGGTCTCCAGCACGGGTGTAGGGGCCCACACACAAGGGTCATCCCATGCAGCTTCTCCCAGGCCACCAGCAGGGCGCTGGATTGGAAGTGAAGCAGCCAAGACCGGAACGGGTGGCAGTCCAACCCACCACATCACACCACACCACAATGCCAGCCCCTTGGGGTTGTCCTTAAGGCCACTATAGACATGGCATGCAGATTTCTACGTGACCATGAGCGTTCACTCTTGCTGCACCAACACCTAAAGGCAGGATTACTGGGTTGTGTGGCTGCATGCGTGTTCATCTTTGCAACGGACACCAAAGTGGCTGTACCAGCGTGCATTCCTCAGCGGCTCTCCTCTTCATGGACGTTTGGTTGTTGTCTGTGCCCTGCCGGTAGGTGTGGTTGGAGTCTCACGATGACGCTGATTTTCCTGACGACCTGTGATGTGCAGGATTTCTTCGTGTGCTTCTTTCCTCTCACTGTATTTTCTTTGTGCCCATGTTTTGGGTTTTTGTCTTCACGTTACTGGATTTTTAAATTTCTTTATGTGTTCTTAACAAAAGTCCTTTATGTGCTCTTTGTCTTGTAGACCTTGTCTCCCAGCCTGTGGTCACTGCCTTAACTGGTGTCTATTACCGAGCAGAAGTTTTCTGTTTCTGTAAAGCCAATTTTATCATTTTTTTCTTTATGGATTGTATCCTTGGTATAATATCTGAGAAATGTTTGCCTAACCCAATGTCACAACCATTGTTTCCTGGAAGTTTTATTTTGGGTTTGTGTTGAAGCTAGGATCCATTCTGAGTTAGTTTTCATATATGGTATGAGGTATAGACCCTGGCTGACTAAATTTCCTTCTTCCTCCTGCCCTCCCCTCATCTCCCCTCCCCTCCCCTCCCCTTTCTTCCCCACCCCCCTCCCCCCTCCTCCCTCCTCCCTCCCTCTTTTCTTCTCTCCCTCCCTCCCTCTCTCTCCTCCTCTCCCTCTATTTCTTTCTCTCTTTTTGCATATGAATGTCCATTTTTCCCAGCCCAATTTGTTGAAAAAAAAATCTTTCTCTTATGCTTTGATAAAAAAACCTGTTAATATATGTGTAACTTCTGGACTTTCTAGAAAGTGCTCATAGACTCTGTCCTGTGTCATTGACCAATGTGTCCATCCATTCTCCAGTAACATCCTATTTTATTACTGTAAATTTATAATTTGTCTTGAGACCATATAAGTAAAGGCTATCCAGTTTTTCTTTTTCAAAATTGTTTTGGCCACTTCAGTTAGTTTATATTTACATATAAATTTTAAAATCACCTTTTCAATTTCTAAAGCGTACCTCACTGCAGTTTTTGTTTTGTTTTTTGTTTTGTTTTTTGTTTTTTTACAGGCAGAGTTAGACAGTGAGAGAGAGAGAAACAGAGAGAAAGGTCTTCCTTTTGTTGGTTCACTCCCAAAATGGCTGCTACGGCTGGCCCTGTGCCGATCTGAAGCCAGGAGCCAGGTGCTTCTTCCTGGTCTCCCATGGGGTGCAGAGCCCAAGCACTTGGGCCATCCTCCGCTGCCTTCCCGGGCCACAGCAGAGAACTGGACTGGAAGAGGGGCAACCAGGACTAGAACCCGGCACCCATATGGGATGCTGGTGCTGCAGGCAGAGGATTAACCAAGTGAGCCACAGCGCCGGTCCCTTCACTGCGGTTTTGTTTGGCATTCCAGCCACTCGCTGGCTTGGGAGAGCCATCCACTTTCCTGTGTCGTCCTCTAGCCCACCTGTGTGAAATGATGACCACACACTCGCCTGGGCTTGGGTTTCCTTCATCCGTGTTACGCAGTTTTCAGAATACAGATCTGGCGCATGCTTGGTTTAGTGTGTATTTATTTCATTTTTCATAGCTATTAATTTCAATTTTGAATTGTTTATTGCTCATGTTTAGAAATATATTTGATTCTTTTATCTGACCTTGTGTGCTATGATCTTAGTAATACCCTAGTTAATTCTGGGAGCTCTCCTATTGCTGACTCTTAGGAACGTTCTAGATGGACCATTGTTTTGTCTGAGCATAGAGAGACTTCCCTCCTTTCCACCTGTCCACCCCTTACTTCCTTTTCGACATTGTTCCCCGACTGGCACTTACAGAATAGTGTCACAAGAAAGACATCTTTGCCATGGTCCTGATCTTAGGGGGAAATACTCGATCTTTCATCTTCAATACGGTGTCAGTTGTAGGCGTATTACAGATGTCTTTATCAAGTTTAGGAAGTTCCTTTAAATTTCTTCTCTGCTGAGAGGTTTTTATGCTTTTCTTTTCATGATGATTGAAAGTTAAAATTCATCAGAGGCTTTTGCTGAATCCCTAGGGCTGGTGGTTTGCACTCACCCATTGCCCAGCATCCCCTGTCTTGGTCCAGCACTCCGTCACGGGGGAGCAGCACCTACTGCCCTTGCCTGCCATGGGTCTAGGCTCTCTGGGGGCCCGGGAAGAGTGATGCTCGGGCCAGTGCCGCGGCTCACTAGGCTAATCCTCCACCTAGCAGCGCCGGCACACCGGGTTCTAGTCCCGGTCGGGGCGCCGGATTCTGTCCCGGTTGCCCCTCTTCCAGGCCAGCTCTCTGCTATGGCCAGGGAGTGCAGTGGAGGATGGCCCAAGTGCTTGGGCCCTGCACCCTATGGGAGACCAGGAGAAGCGCCTGGCTCCTGCCATCACATCAGCGCAGTGCGCCGGCCGCAGCACGCCGGCCGCGGCGGCCATTGGAGGGTGAACCAACGGCAAAGGAAGACCTTTCTCTCTGTCTCTCTCTCTCTTACTGTCCACTCTGCCTGTCAAAAAAAAAAAGTGATGCTCTCCTGGTTTCTTCTTAGGCGGATGTGATGTGCTTTTCCCAGCTTTCCTAGAACAGCGGCCCCTGTGGCCACTGTCAGTCCACCAGCTCCCGATGGGTGGGGAATGGGAGGTGTGGCAGTTTCCTGGGTGACTTGCTGGCAGAGGGACCAGGGAGATCGCCTGTACTCCACAGAGTCCGGGAGGGGAGAACGTGACTCAGGAGTGGCCCTGTGGGACTTGAGAGAGGTGCAACTGTGCTGTCCCAGCAGGCCCTGTCTCTTCTCCATCTGGAGCAACAGATCCTTTGGGCTTCTGTGTCTTGCTTTGGGAACAACCTCCTAAAGACCCAGAATCTTCCTTCCCACCTGGACAGTCCACTAGGCCATCCCTTGGGCGAGCCAATGGAGTTACTGACCTTGAAAACCCAGCCCCGCCACACCCTGCCTCGTCTCGAAAGCTTTCCGTTTCCCGGTGCTTATGGCAGACCCTGGCAGCTGCTGTGTGGTGTGCGTGTGCGGTGACCCAGGCCCTCTCCCCACACGCCCACGCCTGGCGTGCTCATGGCCTCCCGCCCCTGGCCGAGGTTGGTCACAACTCCGACCTGCACGCCGCCTTCCCCATCCCTCCCGCCCCTGGCCGAGGTTGGTCACAGCACCGACCTGCACGCCACCTTCCCCATTCCTCCCAGGCCTGCTGCAGAGGCACCGTCCATCCCTTCCTCAGGCAGGGTCAGTCCCTCTGCCGTTAGCATTTGCAGAGTGCCTGCCCACCTAGATTCACACAGGCATCTTCCCGAGTGTACATTCCCTGAAGGCACTCACTTGGCAGGTATATTATTGCTTTAATAGCTGTTCAGTAAAGGAACAAAAAAATTGAAAAATCAAAAAAAATATTGCTGCTATTGACAGGCAAAGAGAAATTTACCCTCCAAATGAATGAACAACAGTCCAGATTGGGGAGGGGGTGACAGCTGTGTTTTCTTTATTTGTTCACGTAGTTCCATTGAGCTGGGAGATGGTGGTACATGCCAGTATTTCAGGAAGAGCATTCTTTGAGCTCAAATATTGGGCAGCTGAGAAAGAAATCCTAGCATTTGCCTGCTGTCCACCTTGGCTCTGTGGAATGAGGAGTTGGCCTCGCCCACTCTTTTGGCTATGCTATAAGGAGTTCTCCATCAGGAGGTGAGAGGTAGCCAGTTCCTTCTCTGCAAGGCCACTAAGAGCTTCCCGTGTGTCCTGGCTCTTCCCGGACCTGGGGGCTGTGGTTTGTCTGTGAACGCCAAGTGGCAGCTCAGGTTTGCCTTTTTCTCTCCCCTCCCGCGGTGTCTCCTGCCCGTGTTTGCCTCCCACGACTGCCTGGGAACAGTGCCGACCGCACCCCCACAGAACGTGCAGACGGAAGCCGTGAACTCCACCACGATCCGGTTCCTGTGGAACCCACCCCCGCAGCAGTTTATCAACGGCATCAACCAGGGGTACAAGGTAGGTGCCTGGATGTGTGACTCTCTGCCGGTGCCACCCGGGGCTGCCACTCCAGTTCCATCAGGAACGCAGGGCCTCATCTGGACTGTTGCAGGAGTCCGTTTTTGTGAGGTGATGTCATCAGCCATGCCGGCTCACTCACTGTTACTGGTCAGGGGCTGGTTAGGGAGGAGCGCACCTCGTGAGAAAGGCCACTCCTTCTCAAAGGCCTTGGGGCGAACTTGGCATTGGTAGGGATTAGCCTTTGGGCAAATGACTTCCTCCTGAAGAGCACACTTGATGTCTTTGGTGTGCCCTGTGTCCACAGGCGTGGATGCAATTGCCAAAGGTACAGCTCCTCTCGCTTGTGGATTAGCCACTCCTGACTGGATCTGCGTTTTACCAACACGCGTTCACTGATCCTCCGTGGTGGGGAACCCAGGGACACCCTCATGAGAAGGGGTCCTCCTGTTGTGCCGTGCTTGGTGATTCTGCACAACCCAGAAACATAGTTTGTTCAGACACCCGGTCCAGTTTGCTGTCGCATTTGGGTTCAAACGACTTGGCTTCAGACACTGGTTTGTTTGCTAGAGAGGCAGACATAGCTGGCGACGTGCCTGCCTTTTCTCTTTCCTCCGAGACATCAAAGACATCATTTCCTTTTTGGAAAGGAAGTTGTATTCGTCCCCCAGTGGTTCTTCCTCCCCAGCCTGGGAGACCACAGGGCGAGCCCGAAGGCTCAGCGGTCAGCGTCCACTGGGAGACGCACGGCGGCCTCTGGCTCAGTGGTCTGTTTGATCTGCATAGACGCCTCGTGGGTGTGGCACCTCAACTGCCAGACCCCGTTAGTCCTAGAATCGTTTGGTGTCCAGGGATTAAGCCTCACACACATACACATCCAAACGACTCTCCCTGGAATAGGCATGTGTACTACATTTCTTTAATGTCATAACCAATCTTCTCAAGTCCTTGTCAGGAAACTACTGCGATACGGATTATAAATAATTGAGATTTTTCCTGTGGCATCACGGGCTTCTTTTTGCGTAGAGTAGGTGCCTATCTGGAAACATTCGTGTGTGTCACTGTTCTGATTCTGTTGAATTAACAGGTGGGCGTCTTTATTCCTCAATGGTAAACTCAAATTCTGTAACGTACTTAGTGGAGAGAAGGTTTGAGAGAGTGTCCATTATTCTAAAGTAAGCTAACAGATGTCGTGTTTATCGATAATGTCTTTTTATGCCATAGCCTATGACAGATCTCCTAGGACATTATCAGATGTAAGGGTTTTTTTTGTTTGTTTTTGTTTGTTTGTTTGTTTGTTTTTGACAGGCAGAGTGGACAGTGAGAGAGAAAGACAGACAGAAAGGTCTTCCTTTGCCGTTGGTTCACCCTCCAATGGCCGCCGCAGCCGGCGCGCTGCGGCCGGTGCACCGCGCTGATCCGATGGCAGGTCCTGGTCTCCCATGGGGTG